GGGGGGGGGGGGGGGGGGGGGGGGGGGGGGGAACAAGGTGCATTATGGTCTATGTGAAGATGGTAAATAGCCTACGAATACAGCCTTCTCTCCTCGCTCCTCGCCACCAGGGAAGTATCGCCACGAGGGACGTCTGCACCTCATGGCGGTCAAAAACAAGAAGAAACCAATCCTATTCAGGCAAGAAGTCAGACAAAATCAGACAAAATGATACAAAAAAAAAAGCTGATGCGCAGGTTTTGCATCAAGAGATCTGAATTCCTTTACATTTAGTTACACTATAACAACGTTGTTCTTATCTACAGTTAACTACAGAGCTTTGCCTAGCTATAATTCACTGCAGTTATAAATGGAATAAGCGTTGTCCTGAGGCAGTTCTCAATGCAATGAGCGACTACTGCAACACCCACCAGTAGATCAATCATGCGCAGAAGTGGATGGGTTCCATACTGTTAGCTGGACCAAAGGCTAGCCTCATCTCTTAATTCTTGAAAGACTACCCCTCCTTCTCATTTATACTCTCAGTTGGATAGATGAAGATATGTTTTGCAGATTTGTTTTTGCAGTTAGTAAAAATACCGGATCAAACCCTTTTAATATCTGAATCATTAATCAAGGGAGCAACTTTCTTTCAAATCAGTTAATCGCCTTAGCTTCTTGCGTCCTTAAACTATCATGACCTAAGCATATATAGTTCTTTTGCAAAGGCAAAGAAAATTAAGTCCTACAATCATGGACAAAAGTCTGGGGACACTTTTGCGTTTCTGGGGCGTTTTCCAATGCACACAGGTCCAACCCCTCCCCTCACCCCACAAACAATGTTGGACGCGTGTATTCAGAATTTTTTACGAATTTCAATTTGTATAGGGTGGGGGGAGGGAGAACTGCAAGAAAATTTCGAAAAGGATGCACTGTTTTAGGAGGGAACCGAGAAATGACAGAAAAATATGAATAGTGCCCAAGGACTTTTGTCCAGGATTGTAGCTTTCAAACAAACACAGCAACTGCGGTTTTAAACAAAACTAAGAACTATTTAGTGTAATAAACAACAAAATAAAAAAATTGCGAAAAGTTACTGCCATAGCCTTTTCAAGTTTTACATAAACGAAAACAGTAAACTTGCTATCGCGGCCAAAACGCACAGGGTACCCAACCCTATCCTTACGCCCTTTTGACCAGAGTTCATGGTTATGGCTTGATAAGTTGGTTCCACTGTTCTAGGGCTTGTATCAGCAGCAAGTCGGAAAGCCATGAAGTAGCAGTCTTGATTGTTGTACGAATCCAATCCTTGAAGAATGAACTTTCCAGTTTTTTCAAAAATCTTCAACTGGGTATAAATTTGAGGATTCTAAAAAAAGACAATGTCACAACCTAGTCAAACTGGAGAATAAAATGAAAATCTCGACATCACCGTACCCCAAATTCCTCAGCTGCATGGCTCGTGCATGGATGTTGCAAACTGTAATGAATCGAACTCGAAACGCGGCTAATACAGACTGCTTGAAAAGTTGCATAATAATAGGCTGTCTCAGGCGCACTACATACTCGAGTTGGCACTAGTTTTGTTGCTTCTCTTTTGCGGTTAATATAGTGGAGCGGCCACCCTCTATTAAGCGGCCAGTATTCAAAGTCCTGAAATAATTGTAGAAAAGAATTGTAAATTAAACCTCTATCAAGCGGCCGCAGTCATCTTTTGGCCGTCCCGATGAGAGTTACGGGAGGTGGTCGCGCGAGGCTGGTTCGACCGTAGCTCAAATCACTTTTCGATTTGACCCCCTAAATAGCTTCTAAAAGGTACTTCTAATAGCAGTTACTTTAGATTGAAACACCCTCAGCGATATCAACCCTCAAACTTTAACCCTTAACCCTTCAAACCCCAATATCATCAGGCATATTCTCCACACTGTCTTCCAAACATTTCCCATGGTACTGATGATGAGAATTTGTTAACCAATCAAGACCTTTGTCACTTGTTGATTATTTCCTTTTTTCTCATGATCTACATGTTTGATTGAGCAGAGCTACAGTAAGGAGAAATTAAAGTTGGACTCCCTTAGGGATTAAAGGATTAAAGGTACAACGACTATTCCGACTTTTTTATAGGGGATTACCAACACCCCCCTCCCCCTCCCCCTTCCTGGGGCTGTTCCGGTTGACCGAGATCTCGTCCCGAAGATTCCAGTTGCTTTATCGGGTCGGTATTTTTGTTCCAGCACGAGAACATGGAAAGGTACAACGAGTACTCCCGAATTTTTTATAGGGGAGTACCAACACCACCCCCCATCCCCCTTCCTCCAATCCCCCTTTCCCCTTCATAAGGTCATAAGGCTGGCCCAGTTGACCGAGATCTCGCCTCGCCCATCCCAAATTCATGTATGGGAAGTACGATCGGATGGAACGGGTACCGCATGCCTAATCATTGACTCCTAATTGGCCGCGCGTCGAGTATGGAATGAGGAAAAGGAGGACGACGCATTTCTTCTTCTTGCGAGGTCTCTTC